TGCTGCAACTTCTGATTAGCTGCTTCAACTTCTCAGGAAGCTTTAAAATACTCCTTTCTTAGGCTGATAAGTCAACTAACAATTAGTATGATAACAAAAATCCACTGTTCCTCAGATCATCTCAGCTGGCTTTCTAAAAAAACACGCCTTTTGCACATACTATATACACTCACTGTTTTCTAGTCACTGCAAGATGCATTTCCAAACATCCTTGTAAATCTGACTCTGAGCTTGAAATGAAAAGCATTTATGGCACAGGGGTTTTTTTATGTATTATTACTGTAGGAAATAACAATGGGGGCACCTTGTTAAAATTAACCCATCATTTCATATGTGTGCACCTCGTTTTCAAGGTCAGTCTCTAAAACTATTGATGGCTACAGTTTCAAAAGAATCAAAGTTGCAACTATTCTCTAAGTACATTTCACATTGCTTGAATTAGCTGCATCAGGGCTTCTATAACTCTATCAAAGGATTTCTATTACATTTTAGTTCTTTGCCTTTAGTTTACCAGTAAACAGCAAGCAGTCATTTAAGTGGTTTCTCTTCTCAGAAAAGGTTCTGCTTTGATAGTACCCTTGAAAAACCATCTTGGAAGTTGGAAAGTGGGAGAGATTTTGGCTACAGTAGGAATACTTGGCTGCTCATAGTACTCATACAATGTTTTTCTCCTTTTGTATAGAATTATTTCTCACAGAAAAAAACAAAACCAAAACAAACAAACAAAAACAAACAAACAACTGGCATGGATAACTTGCATGAATGAAGATAAGACCAAATTTTTCTAAATATTATCTGTTAAATATTTCTAAGCTGACAACCAGCCACATGGGGAAAAAAAATGAATGAATAAACACAAAAATGTAAAGTTGTGAAAATAATTATACAGTTAAGTTTATACAAGTGACTGGTTCTACCTGAACCTGCTCAGTTACCTACATGCAAAATACCTATAGAAAAATGATTTTTGCTAAGTCCTAGATGTTGGTAATTGGGCGAAAGAAGAAATCAATGCTGTCATTTATTCCAAAATGTAACACTCCAAGTCTAATTGTATACTGTGGCAAGCAGAGCAGAGTGTTCAGAAAATCACACTTGAAGCCAATGAAGACTTCTAGTCTAGTTATTCACGTTTGTAAACAAACCTTACAGGGATGCCAATGAAATCAACAAAATGTGCAGAACTGCAGCTTTATGGTGTAATGTCTCTATTAAACCCTGCCCATAACTCTTGTGGCTGTCAATGGAGAAACCCCAGCCCTAAGGGAGGAAGCTGGCACGAAAGGAAGGAAACCCCTTCCATAGAGTCTTTAACTTTGCTCCTTTGGAAATGTATAATTTAAAGCAAAGCAAAAGACAGCCAGCAAAACCACACTACCATTAAGCAACATTGTGTTTTATGCTTTTATTCATAATAAAATCCTTTCTCACTACTCAGTGTCAACTGCCAGTAATGCATCCAAACAGGAATCCAACAGAAACCTCTGGATAACACCATAACTGCCTGGGCAAATGGCATTTAAATGAGGAGCTATATGAACAGGGAAGCATCTTATCACTACACTCAGGGTCTTACACAAAATCCTGGCAGGTTAGTGACGGGAAATAAGATAAAGCTTTTTTTAGAGGAGGAAGAACACAGGACAGCAGCAGGTAAGCACTGTTGTTGTAGGCAATTATCCCTTGCCTCTTGCTGCACCAGGTTCTTCTAAAGCTCCAGATGGTCACATACATCTGCACAAACAAATCTTACATTTTCTTTATTATTTTGGGCAAAGATCACAAAAAAAAAAAAAAAAACCACGCCTAACTGGAAACAAGTTTTATAAAGCTGGAGATCTAAGCTTTTTGTTTTCTTTAACCTGAGAAGACAGTAAAAAAAACCCACTAACTTCTGAACCACTTTGAAAAACAGACTTTGTTTAGAATAAAGCAGTTTAATATTAGCTCAGGGCTTTATTGGCTCTAAAATAGCTTTTTCAAACTGTTACCTTTTGCCTGGCTATAGAACTATCTTTATTTTCTGCTGTTATGTTTGTAACAGGCATTGGACCCATTTAGCATAAACATGCACTAATTAGCAAGTGGAAAAAACACTTGTTAAAAAATGGTCATTTAAAATTCCCTTATTTTATAGTTGAAGAAGATAGTTTGTTGCAGTGACACCTCTCTGAAAGCTGCCTTCTGTATTGTGTGTGCTGCACAGACAGGCTCCCAGTGGATGAGAAAATTCACATTTTTAACAAACAACTTCTTTGAGATACAGAGCAGATGGTTAGAAATCATCTCTCTATGGGCAAATGAAAGCTTTCCCTCCCTAAGGATAGTGCTCCTGTCCTGTCTTACAAACACCTGGCAATGTCTCTAAGAAAGAAACTTTCACAGAAAAGCTGATGCCTTTTTGTTTTAAAGTCAATGTTTCTACAGCCAGAAATACTGTTTTGTTTTGTGTTGTTTTGGTTTTTTTTCCAAAAGATGGGCATATCTTCATAAGGACACTGCTCAAAATGTCCATTAGAAAACTAATTGCAATTAGAAGTGGCCAAGTTCTACTTACAGCAGAAATGCTCCTAGTTTAACACAGCAGTTGCCTCTGTAAACATGCATTCAGCTCCTAAACGATGATGGATACAGGTCACTGTCTGGGATCACACTGACAGGTAGAGGGTCAGAAGTATCTGGATCCTTCTTATTTGAGGGAATGCAATTATGAAAAGCAGGTCAACAGGGTTCTTGAAAAGAACTACACAGGAGGTAACATTTATATAATTGAGTACTTCTTCAGTTCTATCATAAGAATGTAAATGATTCACTGTGAATCTAATTAATATTTGCCTTCGTCAAGGAACCAGACATGCAGACAAGCTGTTGATTTCTAGAGCTGTTTCTCCTTGCAGGCATCAGCAATGCTCCCATTTTCAGAAGTTCATTGCTCGGGCACTCAATGGGTCTGCCAGGCCTCTGCTGTGGCCCAGGTGACCCCACCACCCTGCTTAGGCAGCATCTGCTTGGTGTGCTGTCTGCAGAGCACTTCCACCTCCATCTGCCAGAAGCACCTGAGAGCCCAAAAAAAGAAATCTCCCATATGGCAACACTCTTCAAAGTGAAGAAAACTCACCCTAATAGTGTCTGGATACATTATAGCAGGGAGTATGCTTGTTAGGCTTTCCCTAAATATTCATAAAAACCACATGTGAGAGCTAATCCAAAACTCATATCAAACGATTCAAAATCTTCTCTTTGAATGCAACATATAGCACAGTATGAATGAATGCTAAGGATAAAAGATCAACCTAATTTTTAAAAGCTTTTATAAAAATAGCTTAAGCTTAACTTGAGGTGAGAATGGTTCATGAGTTCTATTCCATTATATTTTGCACTCATTAAAAAATAAAAACATGTTTTTACCATGGCTGAAGTGGAACAAACCAACTTTGGAATTTTAAATTCCCCCTCCTTTTTCAAGACAAGAAAAGGGCAAGAGAAGTCACACACAGAACAGGGGGATGCATCTGTAAACTTACTTTCCTTTTTAATTTGGGAATGGCAAGATCAAGGAAAGAACCATGAAAACCATTAATAAACACAGACAAATGCTCAGCTCGTTTGTCACTTGCTGTGTACCCAGGGAAAACTCCCAGGAAAGAAGGGAAACTGCCTGCCAAAATAACTAATTTTTCAGAAGAGCAGCAGGAAAACTAAGAAAGAGCAGGAAGTCAGAGTGATCAGTAAACTGTGATCCAGCTAAACATTTCCACTCAGATGCACTCGTGACCACACCATCTGTCCCCATGACCAAGAGCTTCTCTTGATGATAATAAATGCTTTCTGCCAGGTTCCAGGGATATTACACAACCAAAAACTTGCACTTTTAAGTTCTTAATTA